CCCACAACGAGCTTTGATGACTTCGAGGAATGTGTGGGCGTTGGGCGCCCTTCTCTTGAGCTCGATGGCGATGGTCGCAAACAGGAGAATCTGGACAGTGGCCCCAGATGCGTACCAGAATGGACCGGAAACGCCATATCGGTAGCACACACCAGAAGATTGAAGAAGGGTGGCTGCCCAGGTCCAAGATGAAACGACAGCAGAGCCAACAAGACCAGACTTGACAGTTCGGCCAGCGGTGGTAAACATCTCGGACGTCTGCAACTCTCTGTTGTACCGTTTGAGGACATAGGTGGTGGCGATCATGCCGATGGCGAAGAGGAATCCAACACCAAGGACGATGCCGTAGCCGACGCCCTGGTTAAGCGCTGCGGTAACCATGGTGTCTATGGGAGCTCCTGGGCTCTCCGAGTTGAGTGCTGTTGAGATCAAGTGCTACTTGCAGTTTCCAGGTCTCCACAATGTCGGGGGCCTTAGGATCTATATATGTGCTACCTGCGGGTTGGCGGTGGTGGGATCAAGGTGGCCGCCGGCCGGCAGAGCTTCAAAGTTTCACATGAAGCTGCATTGCACTTGGGCTGCCGCAAACGTGGTAGACGAGTCGCGTGCCGGAGGACCATGGGGGTGGCTAACGAGGGCCACCCCGGCATTTGGCGCGCGGGGAGACATGGAACACGGGGGGTTGGTTTGCGGCGTATTCGAGGCCGGGCTATCATGAAGATGGCCGAAGGCCAGGCAGGGCAGCATGTTAGGCATGTTTTCAGCTTACAGCCATGTGGGAGGTCAGACGGCCGATGGCGGCGTGGAGAAAAGAGTCCAGCGCCTGGCAAGGCAGTAGGTATGTTCCCTTAGTCAGAAGATTGTCGACACGCAGAAGAGGTTGTCGTCGGGGTAGAGATAAGGCCAAGAGATTTGAGCGGTCATAGAATTGAGGCTAACCTCAAACTCTGTCAGGGGTGACCCTCAGCCAATGACCCACCAGCAGATGAGGCCCAGCGGAGCGCACCAAGCAGGAGGATGCGGAAGGGGCTGATTGGACTGGCCGACGGCGAGGTCAAGATAAGAGCAGTCCATGAAAGACCTGATCAGCGGTTGTCAGTACGAAATGCGAAGCTCTCTGAGATGGCTGTGAGAAAGTCTGCCGTTGGTTGATCCTGTGACAAGCGGCCGCTGTAGTGTTGGGGGTTGGCTCCCAAGGTGGGAGATAAGGAGCTCGGACCCTGTGCTAGGGACATCTCCGTGGGGCAACAATGACCTCGCGCCTCTTCAGGAGGCGTTGAGCATCATCTCTCATGATACAGGTTGGTGGACGAATGTTGATGTGAGCAGAAGAATTGCGGCGAGAAAGCAGAAATATCAAAAGATATCAAGTTCTCCGACTTGACGGAAACAGCGACCCACAAAGACAGCATTGGCGCCTGGGCATCGAAGGCCAAGCTTTTTTTCAAGTGTCAAGTGCCACTGGGCACGCTTGGCGGGGCTGGGTCGCGATTGCCAAGTAAGAACTGGAGACCGTGATATCCCAGGCTTGAAAGCCCGATCCTAGTGCCTGAGCAGAACGAACGAGTGCGGTGCTGTCAAATAACCGCTTGATGCCACCTGCAAGAGCCAGCAGCCGATCAATGTTCTTGCCAGGTATCCGATGTACCTGCCAAGGTACTGGTAGGTAGGTAGGTACCTTACCTTCCTTAGTCATGTCGAGATGGGCGATGGGCTTTCAGTCATCCGTTGAATCCATTGCTCACATCCAAATGTCATCGATTTCAGCTTCAAATATGGTGGCTTGATGCCTCCGATCTTGGACGATCAACTCAAGGCAAGATCGCAGGTTGGCCGCCGGCCACCGTTCTTTAGCTGCTACCTTATCTTACTTGGATTATCGAGGCCACCCTGGCCCTCTGTCCAACAACAGGTCAGGACCACCACACTCTGAGCGTACTCGCAGCCATGTTTCAGCATGGCATCTCACCTCGCCGACAATCGGCATCAATCCATCGGCTTGCGTGCCGTCACGAAGGTGACCTTTCCAAAACACCGAACGCCCAGACCAGCTTGCTCACGCCGGATTCTCTGCATCAAGTCCCGGGTATCACTCTCCGACCGCCCACACCTTCCGAACAAGGCGAGTGCATAGCACTCGAGTCCATAGTCAATGAGCTGTGCCAGTTGTGCTCCTTTCCTTTTCATCCGCTCATCCACCCCAGACGCCCGAATCGGCACCAAGTCTGACTTCTCCATGACCTTCTCAAAACCCACATCTTCCAACCAACCACTGACTTTGGGGATCGGATCGAAATCGATGCCCAGCTGCTCCGAGTACTCCACTACGCCCATCTCGAACTCTCGCGACGCCGGCATGACCGCGCCCTCCATGGTCAGCTCACTTTCTGCCTCTTGAGACGCGCTTGGCCCGTCGTCCTCAAAGTCGAACCAGCGTGATCGCACTTCTGCCACCTCAATCTGGCCACCCGGCCGGAGGTGCTGGAAAGCCTGGGCGTAGAGAGCCTTGAAGTCGCGCACACCGCCGCCGACCAGATTACGTACGTGGACAAAGTCTAGACTCAGCGGCTGAGCGGCCCACGGCTCGTTGACGTCGCTCACTTCAAAGACCACATTCGGTGGAACCGCGGTCGGCAGTAGTGCTGCTGAGACGTCAACTCCACGGATTGACGCCGTTGGGTGCTGCGCTGCCATGGCTATCGCCCAAGCCCCTGTGCCAGCACCAATGTCGAGGATGGACAGTGGGCGGCCTGTTGGCACCGGCAGGCGCGCAGAAGTGAGTGCGCCGTCGAGACAGAGCTGGAAGAGGCTGTGCTGGATCTCGAGGCGGGCACGCTCAGACTCATCGTTAGGCGTCAGGATGGTGCCGCTGCCGTGGTAGGTGTGTCCGTATGCTCGGATCGGGGGGAGGTCGTCGATGGTGGAGACAGAAGAGTAATCGCTCGCGTCTGAATCGTCGTCGGCCGTCCCCTGCCCCGAGGCGTCGGGGCACGCCGTGCGGGCATCTGAGCCCATGGGGACGGCAGTGCGGGTGAGGAGTGTTTGTTTTGAAAATATCTCGCAGCCTGCCTGTGCTTCGCCTTACGGGGCAATATAGTGTTTGCAAGACGACCGTTGGGAGGATCTGCACGTGGGGGACCCCAACATTTGATGGAGAGCTCCCTGGTTCTTGGGGATGATCGGCTGCAAGATAACCTTTTCTTCACAGATGCCGACCCAACAGACCACTCACACAACATGGACGAACAGCGAACATGAAAGGGGGAAGAGCACACATTGCCCTCGAAGGAGAGAGGCCAAGTAGGAAAAGCTCGTACTTTATGCCTGAGTCAATCCCACCTTTTCCCCAGACACCATCACTCATCATCATCACCACTCGCTGGCTCCCTTGCTCTCCATCCGATCCTCTAGAAACACAATCACCCCCTAAAAAGCACACCCCTATCAAATTGTCTTCGAGCTATTGGACTCGGCCATCGATAATTTTTCTCATTTCCCCATTGATTTACGGCGCGCTAGCCTTTTCCCCGAAGTTACAAGGGGGGTCAGTGGACCACCGACAAGGCCTCCACGCAACGTGAGAGGGGAATGAAACGAAATAAAATGCATTTCGGTTTCTCTCGTGCGCGGATCGTCGTCATCTCAGCTGTCAAGGCCCTGTACGACCCCCATTGACCCCCAGAGCCCTCGTGTGGCCTCCCTGCACAATGCCTGCTGGCGCCCGGCCCGAAGCGAAGGCACTGGCCATTTAGAGTACTGGCCAGCGCGCTTGCAGGGGGCCTGCCACGCTGTCAGAGGGGCAGAGGCGTGGTCAACGTTTTTGGCCGCAGCAGCCGGTGATCCCAAGGCGCCGACTGTGGCAGGATCATGGCAAAATGGCTCACGGGGATGAGGAACTCGGCGGAAAAGGTATCCTTTGGGGGCCATGCCTTGAACTTGACACGAGAAACTTTCGCACTGAGACCTGAAGTCCGTATTAATTCGGAATTTAGGAGAGCAGGATCCAGAGAGTGGCCTTATCCCCCCGGCGCGGGCTGCTCATCCAATTTTAAGACCGCCGGGAATTGGTCCGACCAAATCACATCGCCTTACGATATCCAGATGCAGGACTCGTCACATCCTTGCCTGGCGTTTGGGCTGGAGGACCAACGGGTCGTTCGAATCACCAGCCGAACGAGATGGTATCCAGCGCGGCTGGTCCAAACGGCTTCAGAAGCAGCGGCCCCCGAGCTTCGACTCCACGCAAGAATTTTTCAGAGCCCAATCAAAACCCGCCCATGGCCTTTTGCCTGATGCAAGGAGAACGCTCACATCCACCAGCACATGCAAACTCGGTCACCTGTCCGTCGCCGCCGTCCGGGCGAGATCGGACATGAGGAAAGTGGAGCGTCATGTCTAGTGGAAGGGTATCTCTTGTCCATTGTACATCACTAGAGCGGCGCATCACATCAATTGCTGTTTGTGACACCAGCCCTGATAATCCGAAGACGAAGCCCAGCAGAGAAAAAAAAACAAGCCCCGCCACGACGCCCGCAAAGCGATCTCAAACCGTCTCGATGTATCGCTTCATCTCCCTATGGCAAATTGTTAGCAATCTCCGGGTTCCACAGCTTACAGTGCATGCCAAGCGCAGGCAGGACAGGATGCTCACCAGTCAGTCACGGCCTCTTCCCACAGCCTGATCTCGTGCTCGCGCGTGCCACCAAAGTGGTCAACAAAGTCGTCACCGAACACTTCGCGCGCGATGCTTTCCTTACGTGTGAAGCGGTCATTGGCCTCCTTGAGGCTCTTGGCGAGGCGTACGCCCTGGTCAGAGCCGGAACCAACCTCCTCGCCCTTCCCAAGGGGCGGCACAGAGATTTCCAGCTTCTTCTCGACACCGCGCCAGCCAAGGGCCAGGACGGCAGCAAGAACGAAGTGGGGGTTTGTGTCGGCGCCGCTGACGCGGACCTCGAAGCGCGTGGCACCAGGCTTGGCGGTGGGCGGCGCGATCAGGCGGATAGAGGCGGCGCGGTGCTCCAGACCCCAGGACACAGTGACGGGGGCCCAGAAGTTCTCGACGAGGCGCTTGTATGAGTTGATGGTCGGCGCGAGCAGGGGCATGACATCCGGCAAGCCCTCTAAAATACCGGCGAGGAAGTGTCGGCCCAGGTCAGAGAGGCCGGCAATATCGGCCCACTTTGGGTTCGGATCCGGGGTATCGCGGGCGAAGAGGTTCTTGCCCTGCTTGTCGACGATGGAGACGTGCATGTGACCGCTGTTTCCGGGGAGCCCCTGTTTGGGCTTGGCCATGAAGCAGGGTGTAATGCCGTATTTTGTGGCGACGGACTTGACGACGTACTTGAAGAGACTCGCGCGATCGGCCATCTGGCGGATCTCGCCGAACTCGAGAGCGGCCTCGAAGACGCCCGGCCCGCTCTCAGTATGCCATCCCTCAATGTCGCAACGGAAAGCGGAGCACGTGTCGAAGATGTCGTAGAAGTAATCCTTGTTGTGGACGGGGCGCGTCAGACTGTAACCAAACATGCCCTCGGTCAGAGCGGGCAGCGACTGGGGCGCGTTTTCTTGCAGGTATCCGGCCGTGGTGCCCGAGGCTGCGTCAGATGGGGCGGGTGACTTGAATTGGTAGAACTCGTACTCAGCTGGAAGAAGCAAAGGGGTCAGCGAATACGGTTTCACGCAGGAGCAAGTGCTTCATATGTCATGAGGGAAGCCCAAAGAGACGACCAGGGCATGGGGACTCACCACCGGCCATGGCGCCCATATCCTTCGCCTCGAGCTTGTCCAGCGTCACCTTCAGCAGACCCCGCGGACAGGCGCAGACGGGTTCGTTGGTGTCGGGGTCGTAGAAGCTGACGAGGAAGAAGGGCACGTTATCCTCCCAGGGGATTCTCCGAAAGCTCTGCAGGTCGGGCACGGCGATGAGGTCGTGGTAGCCGTTCTCGGCATTGCTGACCTTAAGCTCGCGCACGTATGTCCTATCGTGCATGTCCCAGCCAAAGATGACGGAGCAGAAGCCGAAACCCGACTCGGCGATGGACAGAAACTTGGACTTGGAGACGAGCTTGCCGCGCAACATGCCGTCAACGTCGATGCCGGCGAGCTTCACCTTGGTATCGTTCTTCAGCAGCTCGGGCAGGGCCTTGGCCGTGATGGGTTCTGGGTTCGGGGCCATGGTGGTGAGGGGTCCGGCAATCGGCGCGGGGCGAACGGACGAGCGTTGTGGACGAGCAATGCGATGAGGCGGAGGACTGTCAAGAGCACGAAAGTCTGGTTGAGCAGACGAGGAGGGGACGAAGAGGCGGAGAGGCTGGGTGGGCGTGGTGGTTGTTGCGGTGAGGAGGAGAATCAGTGAGACAGAACCAAAACCAAGAATTGGAGAGAAGCCACTCTTGGACTGCAGACGTCACCAGACCTTGGGAGCTTCCCTGGTCGTGCTTCAGGGCATGGACGACTCGAAGGAGGGGAAGGGGGGGTGTTGCAGCTGGCCTAGCCAGCCCCTGGGCCCGCCCCGGGGACAGCGCTGAGGACGCTGGATTGACAGGGGCTGGAGCGGGGGAGACTAGGGCGAAATCGCCTACGATAAGAGATACGCCGCCAAGAGCTACCCCAGATTGGGCGATCCAGCCGCGTCTCGGCCGTCGCCCCGTTATCATGATGCACCTCGGGTCAGATGGCGAGAGGAGGTTGTTCTGTCGGCAGGGTGTATAAGGGATTGACGAGGCGCATTGTATTGGGCCTTGACCCGTAAAGTGGCCTTGTTAGGCCGTTCGAGTCCGGACAAGCCCAGCAGTCTCCGAGAGCATCGGATACTCTTCATTGACGAGACAGCGTTGCTCGACTGCAAGCCTGACCAGCGGATCTCGTTGAATCCGTCGCGTTCGTTCATGTGGTCGGAAACCGTTCAGGTGCTCACTGACACGGATGCTTTATTGCGTTTGCAAGAAGGCGCGCAGAACTACACATTGCAGAAAGAAATAGACGCCAGGCTGGACGGGGGCTCTGCAGGTATGGATCTTGGTGCTCTGTAAGACCATTGGCCTGCCGTCACAGGATCACCAGTAATCACAAGTGATGCTGTCCTGAGATGCTACGCTTGGCCTTTTGACAACGCAGTGTTTGAACTGGCGTCAGGTTGCTACTGCAGCTCATCAGGCTGCTCTGCGTGAATCCAACTATCTAGTGCCTGCTTATGGATACGGCCATACGACTCTTCCATCTTTCATCTGAAACCAAGAATGGATGGGGCCGTCACTGCCGGCGCTGAGCAATGCGCGTCTGTCGCATAAGAGTTACCTGAATGAAACCACCTGGAGCACAGCATTATGAATGTTCTGGTTGCTTGGTCTCTCCGGAAGTAACTGGTTGCTGCGAAGAATAATAGCCTCCGCCGGTGCCGTTGGCAAGACGAGCTGCGCATCCCAGTGCATTTCTATACGGCGATGACATGCTCAAATCCAACTTGCAACTGTCATTTTCCCCCCTTCACGGATGCGGCCTCAGATTGATCGTTATCGACCATGGCATGGCAATCTTGCGGCGAGTGGGTGATGCAGTCTGTCCTCAGTGGTCCGAATCACTACGTGCCGACTGGTTGTATCCCTGGACCAAAATCGATGGCTGAGTCAGCTGGGATAACAGACTGACCCCTCTGCCCCTCACCAGCGACAATTCACTTTGTCAAGCCTTGTCATTGCCGCCCCTCAACAGCCCCTCCCACCATGGCTTCAGCCATCACGAAACCCCGACAATCCGAACGTCCGCTCGACGAGTCGTGTAGACCCACGAATCGTGGATTAACAAGAGGTAATGGAAATCACGATGGCCCTTTGCTGGCGCACGCGTGGCCCGAACGACTCCACCTAACGCCGACCATGTACATTGTCAATATTTGACTTCGGGGCGTGGGCGTGCATCGCTCTCCCCGGCGATGTCGTGAAGGAAGAAAACTATCGTGATAGGACCAGGAATTTCTCTGAGGATGGACGCAGTCAAGACCATCCCCAGATGGCGTCACGGTCTACTAACTCGGGATCAATCAGTGGTCACCGCAGAAGCGCGCTACCCATCCTTTGGGCGACCTGACAGCACCGCATTGGGCCGACGCGCATATTCTTCGTGCCGAGAATGGACAACGGCGACTGGACGATAAGATAGGACGCCTACCATATGCCCAGCTTAAGTAGGTACCTTCTCAAGGTAAGATGGGTAGCTACCGATATCGCCGCATGGGTGCTCCGTGATGCATCTGCCATGTCTCACGTCCCACGGTCCACACATCCAACCAAACATCACGATGGTCAGCTGATAAGCCGCACTGATGGAGCCCCCTCCCCTCCTGCTCTCCTTCCTAGATGGATGCGTGACGCCGTGGGCGGTGAGATGGCCGGGTCTGACACTCGGGCGCATCCGTACCTGGCGCCGTACCACCTGATGCGCCAGCGCCCCAGATCCCTGGAAAGTTCCAGTGCATCTACTCCGTCTCCATCATCTAGGCGTGGCGTGCGATAGCGCCGTTGTCGGATCTTGGTCCGTGGTCCACGCTCTTGCGCTCCTCGGTTCGTGGCACCTCTGGCGCGCGCCTTCACGCCATTCGAGCTCGAGGACTGTGACAGAGGAGGAGAGGGCGAGGAAGGACCTAGAGCCCCCCTCCCCTCCCCCCGGATTTCCTTGACTCATCTGGTACCAGAGCTGTGATTCAGGGCCCTCAGGGTCGGCCCTACTCCATCGGTTGTCCTTCTCTTCTTCTTTCATCGTGTCCTCTTCTTTTGCTCCTCTTGTTCTCTTCATCTCCTCCCACCCAAAGTTGCCAACGTTGAAGTAGGACCCTTGGTGCAGCGCAAACATTCCCCAAGACCCCTCCACGAAATCCTTATCAGTAAACCCCTGCCACGACGACAACCACCCACCGACACGACCACACCTCGAGCCACCACTCTACTCAACGAACCCAGTTTCAACAACATCACCAACCAACCCAATCGCAATCGAAACCATGGGTTCTGTTCCCGCCGAGATTTCACTGACCGGCAGCGGTCGCCTCCAGGGCAAGAATGCCGTCATCACCGGTGCTGCTGGGTGAGTGATGCACCTCTTTCTCGCCTTATCGCTGCCTTCAAATTGCGCCCGCTGACACCATTTCCAGTGGCATCGGTCTTGAGACCAGCATTCTCTTTGCTCGCGAGGGCGCCAATGTCCTCATGGCCGATATTTCTGCGCCTGCCCTCGACAAGGCTAAGGCCAAGGTTCTCGCCTTGATTCCTTCGGCCAAAGTCGACACAAAGGTCTGTTGGGTCTCCTCGAACCCCTCCTCCGCTGCTCCTTCCTCTCAGATCTTTTGCCCCCTCTCTTCCCCTCCCCCTCCCCACTGCCCCACCACGCGATGTGTACATGCGCCCAGTACCGTCTCAAACTCCTCTGACTGACGCCTTGCTAGCTGTGTGATGTATCCAAGGAGGACCAGGTTCAGGCCCTCGTGGAGGCCCTCGACCCTGCCGGCGGTCTCGACGTCATCTTCAACAATGCCGGTATCATGCACGCCCGCGACGACGATGCCATCTCGACGCCCGAGGAGATCTGGGACCTCACTCACAACATCAACGTCAAGGGCGTCTGGTACGGCTCCAAGCACGCCGTCCTCGCCCTGCGCCGCCACAAGAAGACCAAGGGCTCCATCATCAACACGGCCTCGGTCGTCGCTCTCGTCGGCGCCGCGACGCCCCAGCTTGCCTACACAGCCTCCAAGGGCGCCGTCCTCGCCCTGACGCGCGAGCTCGCCATCGTCCACGCCCGCGAGGGCTTCCGCTTCAACTCGCTCTGCCCCGCCCCCCTCAACACGCCCCTGCTTCAGGACTGGCTCGGCGACGACCAGGCCAAGCGCCAGCGTCGCGAGATTCACTTCCCCACCGGCCGCTTCGGCGAGGCCGTCGAGCAGGCCCAGGCCGTTCTCTTCCTCGCCAGCGACGAGGCCAGCTTTGTCAACGGCCACGACATGGTCGTCGACGGCGGCATGACCAAGGCCTACGTCACCCCCGAGGGCCCCGCCTCGGCGGCACCCGCCAACTACGCAAGCCTCGCCTCGAGTCAGTAGAGCATGCCCCTTGTCGGGCGGTCTGCTACCTAAATCTTCGCTGATGGATGAATTGTATGGTTGCATGGCAATGGAATCAAATTGCAACGCAAGTTTGCATGTCAGAACGAAGGGAAGCACACAATGATTGTTTTAAAACGAGCGTGCTTCGCGTTGGAATTCAGGTTTGGCTGGCGTTGGCAAAGAGCGACCCGTGCGCGATACAGGATAGAGTCTCCGTCGTTCAGAGGGTATACCTTGTGGGCTCTTTCTGGTATTATTTTGATTATTTACTACAGCATAACCAACAGACAAGACAGACTGAACAGTCGCTTTCACATCCACTCCGCACACTGCTCGTTTTTTTTACTAACGTGACAACCCCTTTGGGATTTTCATTTGGTGCACATGATGTACACAATGGGATTTGACATGCTAAACAGATTGTAACTTCTAAATATTGCAAAAACGCCGCCCAATGCCCCGACGACTTGTAGTCCTCTCCCCCCTCTCCTCTGCGTCCTAAACTCCGGGAAGGATCTCGCACCTGCTGCTCCTCAGTTGAACTGACCCTCCGTGTTGCCCTCGCCCATGCTCTTGCTGCTCGAGCTGCCGCTCTGGATGGCGCCGAGAATGCCGTCAATGTAGCTGGCGCCGCTCCACTTCTGGTGCGTCAGGACGTCGCAGCCGCCCTCCTTCTCGCGCCTCTGGACGAGGTTGACGTAGGCGAGCATGCCGTCCGACTTGAAGTCGCGCGCGAGCTCGTTGGTGATGGTGGCGTTGGAGTGCAGGCCCGCCAGGGAGATGAGCTGCAGGACGAAGCCCTCGCGCGCAATGTCCCAGATGAAGCTCTTGAGCGTCGCGTCGGTGAAGCCGTGCGCCATCCAGTTGAACGAGGGTGACAGGTTGTAAACGAGGCCCTTGCCG